CGGTGGAGCTCCCTATGGGGCCACGAAACGTGTGAGGGGTGTGCCGAATTGGGTGTGGCTGACGCATGCGGGCGGCAGCGCTGGGGCCTTCGCTGGAGCTCCCTATGGGGCCACGAAACGTGTGAGGGGTGTGCCGAATTGGGTGTGGCTGACGCATGCGGGCGGCAGCACTGGGGCCTTCGGTGGAGCTCCCTATGGGGCCACGAAACGCTGTACTGGGTGGGTGAAACGCAGGGAGGAGGGGGAGGAGGGAGGAGGGGGAAGAGGAGAAGTGGAGGAGGAACGCGGGGACCGTCTCTTCAAAACGAGGACCCAACACCACAGGATGGTTGGGAACAAATGGGGGGTTGCCTGGGCGACACAATCCGGCAACCCACATCATGGCCAAAGGTGGCGAAATCTCGCCGTGGGCACCGAAGGGCGTGCATCCACAGCGCACAACACTGGTGCCTCTACGCGCAGGACGCGATTCGGCAAGCGGTGCCTCTCCGCACAGCGTGCACGACTCGGCCTGCAGACAATGCCAGCCGAGGAAGATTCCAAGGTCTCCGAGTCTGGCATCCAGGGCAAAAGAGCCGAACGGGACAAAGGGCCAGGGACCCGACCGCGGGGCCATTCGTAGGCCCGTCCGAAGACGCAAGCCCTGACAGAGCTTGGAGAAACGGTTCTGGGACGTCGAACCGCGAACGCACTGGCCAATGCAATGCTGGACGAAAGAAATCGCTATATCTTTGGAATGTGCTAACACGAACACCGCAAAAGACGAACGGGCCCACGGGCCACAAGCGGTGCCCCCCACCCCCCACGTTCTGGCAGCGTGCTTGCTTGAGGGTCTTAGCATTCTTGGCCACGCGCAAGCAGCGAACGCAGCGGATCTGGCCTTCGAAACTGAGCATATCATGCATTAGTGGCTCGGCGTCGACATCTGCAGAGAGCAGCTGGCGGTTCCACCCCCTACCTTCGCGCGCCACATCACGACTCGAAGGTTTAAGGTGCGGGGGGGGCCACTGCCCTGAGGGTTCGAAAGAAGTACTTACAAACATACAGGGCGAGGCGGGTTGACTGCTTGACACGATTGCCAGCTGTCTCGTTACTCGGGAGCATTGCTGCGCCCTCGCGGGCAGCCTGGTTGGCAAAAGTGTTCCCCGGCGTAGAAACTTGACATCGTCAGAGCGCGCGTCGTTTCGCGCGAGTGCGCGGCCTGTGGCCTTCTCGACAACCGCGGCCCCCACAAAACCACGCGTCGCACGACCGCCCCCGCGCCCGAAGCCAAAGGTCAGCACAGGGGCACGCGCTGCCGGCGGTGGCCCCCCCACCGATGCCGGGGGAAGAGACCGCCCAATCACAGTCATAACTGCACGGAAACGGGCCAACGAGAGGCGCGAGAGGCACGCGGCACATGGGCAGGCCACGAAATTCTGCCACTTCTGATTCTTTGAAGAGGCCCTGGAGAGGCCCGCAGAAGGCGGCCGCGAGGTCGGAGCCGCTGCCGCTGGTCTCGATGGCGGACTGCCCCGCGGTCTTGAGGCAGGGCGCGCGGGCTTCCCCCTGCACGCGGCCCCTCGTGGGGTCTGAAGATACAGCGCGCTCTGAATTCGAAGGAAGGCAATGGGCACTGGGCGACAGGGTCAAGCAGCAGGTCGCGGTTCCACAAGGCCCAGCCCCCGGCGGCACGGCCCCCCCTCACGCAGGGGAGGGGGCGGAAGGCAGCCGCGCCTGAGGCCCCGCGTGCGAAGAAAATCCCCCCAGCACAAATGACCCGCCGTTCTTGCCCCGGCGCCGCGCAGCCCGCGCATGGGGCCATCGGCGAGGCCAGCCGTAAACTGGCGCTCTTGGCGCCAGAAACCGTTCGCACCTAGGCAACTGGCAGTCGCCTAGCACAGCGACGCCCGCGCCTCCGTTGGGCGGGGGGGCAGAGCTGACGAAGGGGCGAGATGAACGGCGGGCGGGATGAGTAGGCGAGGTCAGGGCTGTCGGATTGGGCTTACCCCATCGAGCAACCCCCCATCGCCTGGTTGGCAATCTTCTGCATGGTCCGAGGGCGCGCTGCGCTCGATGCCCTAAGCGGCGCGGTGGCTGGATCAAGGCCGAGGGCGGCAGAGACGCGACTCTGGGCGGTGGCCCAGTCAAGGCCAGGCTTGGAGCCCGAAAAACGTTCGTCGGCGGCCGAGAGCACGGCCCCGACCCAGGTCCCAGGGAAACCAACGGCCCCAGACAGCCTGTGCCAGCACGAAGTTGGGCCGATGGTGCACTTGTAGGCATGGTCTACGGCAGCTGCGCCACCTGGAGCCAGCGCCAGAGTCAAAGCGAAGTATCGGCGGCGCGCGCGGCACGTCGGAGACTCATCGCGCTCCCCCGCGACCGCCCAGCCACTCGCCCCCCCTCCCCGCCACTGCCTGGGCCGTCGCGCCCTCGCGGCCCGTTGCCTGTAGCTGCACGTCGCCAACCGCACTCCCCAGAGAGATGATCTTCGAGTGGGCCACGGCCGCGAGCGAACATCCAACGACCACCCAATTCAACGGGGCGCGCTTGCTCAGTATTGCCGCGCCGCACGGTGCGTGTCTGCGCGCGCTGTAAAGGCCGACAAGCAGTCGCGAGGCGAGCGCGTTGAACTTGAGGTCGCGGGCTTTGCTGGCGAGGAAGTGTCATCTGATGAACTCGTGCGCCTTGGACAGGTCATGAAAGGTGGAGCACCGCGACGCCAGTCCGCCCGCGTGCTGCAGCATATTCTCCTTAAGCCGTGTCTGAGCCATCTGGTGAGCGGCGTCGCCGTGCGTGGAATTATAAGGGTCGCGCGGCGCCCTCCTTCGGGCTCAAGCAGGATCGCCTCTCCCATGGGGCGACATGACTTGAGGTGCGCGGCCTGTCGCGACCAAAGATCCCCACCATCTTATACAAGTGGCGATTAACATACCCTACGGATAATGAAGTGGCGCGAGTAGACTATGTCACAGCAAGCCCCGCGATGCCAAATCAAATGCGCGCCGCGCGCCGCAGATCCCCGAAAGTCGACATCTGGGCGGGCTCCTGATCGAAGTCGCTGGCCACCAACTCGGTCGCACGAACTCCGTGCCCTGTCGTGCCGACGTTTGCTGGCGGTGACCACCTCGCCCATCATGTCCTGCACCTTGCCGTCGCTGGCGGCTGGAGACTCAATCGACCATGGTGCCTCGCGCTCGAGCCACTTCAAGGCATGGCGCATCCTTTCCTGCCGGGTCAATTCGCGGGGCCAGCCCGGCCAGCCACGGCGCCTGCGGCGCGCCGCCCGGTTGGCCCCCCACTGCGCGCGCATCCTGAGGTCGTCCTCGAGGCGGCCGAGGCCCTCCTCGCCGATGCTGTCGAGCTCGCGGACCGGCTCGCGCCGTGCGGCTCGCGCCTCGGGCCTCCGCTTATCGGCGAAGGGCGAGGCGAACCGTCGGAGGCGAAGGTGGGGCCCCGTCAACGTCGAGCACGCTCTTCGCCGCCACGTTGCGCCGCAGCAGCTCTCCGAGGTCACCATTGGCGCGCGCGGTCTGCTAGCCGCTGCCAGCGAGCGCCCCCCGGCGCTGGCGCCCCTGCTGGTTCGTCGCCTTGCCGCGGCGACGCATGTCTAGCGTGGCGGTGACAAACTGCGCCGCAAGGGCGCGCCCTCGGCATCTGTCGCTTTCTTCCGCCAGCCCAGAGTGCTCGATCATCTCGCCCTCGTTGTAGCTGGGCCAGGCGAAGAACTTCGCGTCGAGCCCTTGCGCGCCAGCTGGTCTGCGCTCATCGCTCATCCCGCGCGCCCGGCGCAGGTCGCCCGCGCCGATGTCCGCGCGCGCCTGGCGGCGGCTCGGCGGAAGCCTTGTCGGGCGGGCATTTAAACCGGCCGGGGAGGTCTCGGCCGCCCGCGCGCGCGGCAGCGATAGTCGCGCGGGCGGCGCCTGCGACCAGCTCATGCACCGCCGCCTCGCGGGTCGGGGCGGAGAGGTCGTCGCCCGCTCGCGCCCGGCGCTCTTCCGAGCAGCGGCTGACCACGGAGCAGTCGATGACGCGCGCGCTCTCGCGAATGTTTGGGAGGGGGCGCCCGGGGGGCTCCTCGCGCCGACTGGGGCCAGCATGCCCGCGCCAGCGTGTCGGGGGGCCTCTGCCAGTCGCCGCGCACGACGAAGGGTCGTTCGGCAGCTCAGAGCCCCACCCCCGCCGCGCGCGCGGATCAGCGCGCCCGCGCTGGCGTCGCCCAGCTCGCGGGGGGTGAGGAAGTAGATCGAGGCCAAGGGGGGGTCCTCCGTCTGCCCAAGGCCTGCGACCCATGTGCCTGCCTCGCTGTGGAAGGCGCATGTATCTGGTCGCTTGTTAACTCCAATCGCCTGACCGCAACCGACGGCCCGGCGGGGGCGCCGGTACCTCCCGCGGCGCCGTCGCCCTGTCCGGTGCGACGCGCTGGGCACAGGTCGGCCTTCCACCCCCGTCGCCTGGCTGCCTTCGCAGCGGTGTCCCCTTGTGCTCGTCGAGCGGTGCTTCTGGATGATCTGCGAAGTCGCGTCGTCCATGCGGGCGCGGTCGTCCTTCGGCTGGGTCATCATGCAGCCACAGCTCGCGATGTTCATCGACGCGGTGCGTAAGTCTGACGTACCTTGCTGCGCTGACGGTCAGTTCTCTCGGGGCGGTCGCCGCGCCGTCTTGTGCCGGGCCACCCGACGTCGGCGCCGCCCGCCGCCGCGGCCGATGGGCCGCGGCGGGCGCCGCAGAAGTCTTAGGTCCCCTCCCCGCCAGCGTCGTTCGAGCTGCGTCCCTCTCGCGACCGGTGACTCCCGCAGTCGGCGCCTTCTGTCGCGCCGTCGCCAAGGCCGCGGCGAGCAGTGCGCGCTTCGGGGGGGGGGCGGCAGCTCGACGTCAATCGCGTCTCCGTCTTGGCGCGCCCGTCGGCGGCGGCGGACCTCGGCGTCGGGGGCCATTTATCCACAATGTCAGGGCCCTGCGCTCGCCGTCGTGGATCGCATGGCCGCCGCGCGCCGCTGCTGGCCTTCGAGCGACGGGGCCCGTCGAAGAAAGCGCCGCCGGGCGGTCGCCCCATCGCCCCCGCGCACGGGCGCAGGTCCTGCTGCAACTCGGCGACGCGGGGCTCGCACAGGCAGCTCCACCCGTCCTCCGAATCGAACTCCTCTCCGAAGTCGACATCGCGGATCAACTTCCCGGCTGGCCTCGACGCCTGCATCTCGACCGCCGGGGCGGGGCCCCTGTTGAGCGGCCTGAACTGGAGCAGCGACGCCTCGCGCGTCGCCTCCGCGCGTTTCCGCCCACGGTGCTGCGGCGGCCCCTCGTCGAGCCGCCGCGTCCTTGCCAACACCTCGTCGATGTGATCGCGTTGCTCAACTTCGAACCCGTCCGCGAGCTCGACTGGGCCCGGTCGATTCTCTGGCGAAAGCGTGCGCCCATCTGCCTTCGCTCGCCTTCCTGGTGCCTCGTCTCGCCCTCGTGGTTGTCGCGCTTGCTGTAGTTGGCGCAGTCGTCGACGGTGGTAGCATGGTTGGATCCTTGCGCACCATCCTCGCCGCTGCGCTTCGAAGCCGACCGCTGGACTGGGCCGTCCACTCGGCACAAGTGCTACCCTCCAGACGGGGCCTCCTTGGCGACGGCGGCTAAGGCTGCCATGGCAGTAGCTGCCAGGGCCTTGCCATTGGCTCGTTAGCGGATGCTTTCCTTGGCGGCGGCCGCGCTTGGAACGTCCTTGCTACCGGGGCTGCGCCCGCGGGTTGGGGCGCCATCGGAGGGGGCCAACAGCGGGCCCAGCAGGCCCCTCAGGGCCGCTGCTCGACCCTGCGGACGCGGCTGGCGCGGCTGGCTTGCCCTTGGAGCCTCCGTTGTCAACGCTTTCCAAGTCGTCGCCCTGGTCGGGGTCGGTCGGGACTGAGAACGCCACTCCATCGCGTACGCCTGAGGTACCTCCTTTACCCGATGACGGCGGCGAGAGTCTCCTTCTCTTCGCGGCGAGGCGGTGACGCACAAGATACATATCCTGCCGCTTGGCGCCCAATGCCCGCGCCCCCACCCCGAAGAGGCTCTGCACCGCGGCGGTGAGCTCGCGCTGCAGCTGGGCCTCGGGCTCCTGGCATACCTCGCGCTCGCTGCCGTCCACGCCGAGGTCCTCCATCTCATCTCAAACATGTGCCCGTCGAACAGGTCATGCGCCTCCCCTTCTGCACTTTGGACGAGCCGGCGCCGACAACGGGCTCGGACTGCTTCGGCGTGGAAGCGCCTCAGCCCTTGTCCTCCGGCCGCAGGCCCGCCTCGGCACGCGCGGGCGCCATGGCGCCGGTGAAGACGGACTTGGCCGCCTCGGCCTCGCAGGCTGTCTTGTCGCATGTGGCACGGGAGCGGCCGGCCAGGTCTCTGCTTCGACTGGTCACCTTCTCGACTGCTGAGCTGAGCGTGGCCTCTGCCCGCCGCGGCCGTACCAACTCCTCCGACATATGCTGACGCATCCTGCCCGAGGAGCTGGTGCTTCTGCCGCTGCTGCCGCTGCTGCTGATGTTGCTGCTGCTGATGCTGCTGCTGTTTCGTTAGGGGCGAAGCGGGCCCCAGCTCCTGGACCGCCGCCCGCTGCTCGGGCGTCACAGTGGCGGCCAGCTGCGCGAGCAAGGCTTTGACGTCGTTCCCGGTCGCGCCACGGAGCCGCCCGACAGGGCCAGGTTGATGCAACGCCCACGCGCCCCGCTGCCGCTGTGGGGCTGTTGCAATTGTGGCGACTGCTGCCTCCAAGTCGTTCCCGCAGCGCTTCCGTCGTCTTGCCATGGTCCCCCCAGCCTCGGCGATCAAAACAACGCCATGAGCATAGACATTTGGCGCTCCGCACGGGTTGTTTGGATCTGCGCTGGACACCCCTCTCCCTGGCGCGCGGAACGCGCCACAGGCGGCGCCCGAGGCGCCGCCAGGGGGGCCCAGCGCAGGTCCAAGAAATCCGCGCGGAGCGCCAACAGTTTTTGATTATGGCGTTTTTCCTTCCTCGATCGGCGCGAGGGTGTGCCCACAACGCCAACACCCGCCCTTGGATTAGGTCGGGCATGTCCCCCTACAGGCGGATTTTGGACGACAAATTGAAAATACCCTCAAAAAATACCCCAAGGTAGCCAAACATATCCCCAACATCGTCCCCATATCAATTTTTAAACTATTTTGATTATTCCCCCTGTAGAGGGACATGCCCGATTTAACCCTTGGCTGAGAACGTTCTCGGGTAGCTGCAGGCGGTGCGCTCGGTGCAGCCCGTCTCCCTAGAGGACCGACCTCGGCTTGTCTCGCTCCTCGCCCGTCGCGCGCTCGGCCGGCGCCTCCCGTTGGTTAACATAAAAATAATAATAATACTAATAATAATAGTAATAATAATAACAATAATACTAATAATAATAATGATGATAATAACACCAGTAATAATAATAATACTAATAATAATGATAATACTAAAACTAATACTAACACTAATAATACTAATAACAATAATAATACTATCGTAATAATAATAATATCATAATAATAATACTAATAATAATTATATCAGTAATAATAATAATTATAATAATAATAATGATAATAATAATAGCACTAATAATAAAATCAACAATAATAATAATAATAACAATAATAATAATAATAATAATAATAATAATAATAATAATAATAATAATAATAAAATTAATAATAATAATAACCTCATGCGGCTGCTGGCTCGGAGAACGCCCCTTCCCGCTCGGGCAGGAGGATCCAGACCTGGGGCGAACCAGGCCGAATGGAGTGAGAGGCTGCCTCGGATCAGAGGTCCCCGCGTGAAAGCCGCGGATTTCCACCATCTTGAGCCAAGCTGCCTACGGCAAGGAGGGACGGAGGAAGAGGAGAGGAGGACAGGAGGAGGGAGGAACGGGAGGGGACGAGGGGGGGAGGGAAGAGGACGGGAAGAAGGGGGGAGGGATGATTGACTAAGGGGGAGACCACGGGCGTGGAGGGGGGCGAAGGACCCAGAGATCCGACGTCGTGATTTTTTCAATACGGGCCCCCCGGAGGTCTCGACCCGTTCCCCGGGACCGGTTTTTCATCTCGTTTTTCCCAACCATCCTGTGGTGTCGGGTCCTCGTTTTGAAAAGACGGTGCCCCGCGTTCCTCTCCTCTCCTCTCCTCTCCTCTCCTCTCCTCTCCTCTCCTCTCCTCCTCTCCTCCCCTCCTCTCCTCCTCTCCTCCTCTCCTCTTCACCCACCCAGTACACCGCTTCGTGGCTCCATAGGGAGCTCCACCGAAGGCCCCAGTGCCCGCGCCCGCATGCGTCACCCACACCCATTTCGGCACACCCCTCACACGTTTCGTGGCTCCATAGGGAGCTCCACCGAAGGCCCCAGTGCCCGCGCCCGCATGCGTCACCCACACCCATTTCGGCACACCCCTCACACGTTTCGTGGCTCCATAGGGAGCTCCACCGAAGGCCCCAGTGCCCGCGCCCGCATGCGTCACCCACACCCATTTCGGCACACCCCTCACACGTTTCGTGGCTCCATAGGGAGCTCCACCGAAGGCCCCAGTGCCCGCGCCGCATGCGTCCCCCACACCCATTTCGGCACACCCCTCACACGTTTCGTGGCTCCATAGGGAGCTCCACCGAAGGCCCCAGTGCCCGCGCCCGCATGCGTCACCCACACCCATTTCGGCACACCCCTCACACGTTTCGTGGCTCCATAGGGAGCTCCACCGAAGGCCCCAGTGCCCGCGCCCGCATGCGTCACCCACACCCATTTCGGCACACCCCTCACACGTTTCGTGGCTCCATAGGGAGCTCCACCGAAGGCCCCAGTGCCCGCGCCGCATGCGTCACCCACACCCATTTCGGCACACCCCTCACACGTTTCGTGGCTCCATAGGGAGCTCCACCGAAGGCCCCAGCCACACCAATTTCGGCACACCCCTCACACGTTTCGTGGCCCCATAGGGAGCTCCGCCGAAGGCCCCAGTGCCCGCGCCCGCTGCGTCAGCCACACCCATTTCGGCACACCCCTCACACGCTTCGTGGCTGCATAGGGAGCTCCACCGAAGGCCCCAGTGCCCGCGCCCGCATGCGTCAGCCACACCCATTTCGGCACACCCCTCACACGTTTCGTGGCTCCATAGGGAGCTCCACCGAAGGCCCCAGTGCCCGCGCCCACATGCGTCACCCACACCCATTTCGGCACACCCCTCACACGTTTCGTGGCCCATAGGGAGCTCCACCGAAGGCCCCAGTGCCCGCGCCCGCATGCGTCACCCACACCCATTTCGGCACACCCCTCACACGTTTCGTGGCCCCATAGGGAGCTCCACCGAAGGCCCCAGTGGCGGCGCTCACATGCGCATGCGTCCCGCACACCCATTTCGGCACATCCCTGACAGGTTTCGTGGCCCCATCATCCACCGGAGGCCCCAGTGGCGGCGCTCACATGCGTCACCCACACCCACCCAATTCGGCACACCCCTCACACGTTTCGTGGCCCCATAGGGAGCTCCACCGAAGGCCCCAGCGGCCGCGCTCACATGCGTCCCCGCCACCCATCCCGGCACGCCCCTCACAACAACAGGTTTCGTGGCCCCATGGGGAGCTCCACCGAAGGCCCCAGTGCTGCCGCCCGCATGCGTCACCACCCGCACCCAATTCGGCACACCCCTCACACGTTTCGTGGCCCCATAGAGAGCTGCACCGAAGGCCCCAGTGGCGGCGCTCACATGCGTCCCCGCCACACATCCCAGTACACCCCTCACGCGCTTCGTGGCCCCATAGGGAGCTCCACCGAAGGCCCCAGTAGCGGCGCTTACATGCGTCTCCGCCACCCATCCCGGCCCCCCCCCCCGCAGCAGCATCATGTTTCGGGGACCCATAGGGAGCTCCACTGGAGGCCCCAGTGGCGGCCCGCACATGCGCTTCCGCCACCCATGTCGGCACGCCCCGCGCGTGTTTCATGTCCCCATAGGGAGCTTCGCCGAATGCCCCAGTGGCACCCATCTCGGCACACCCCTCACACGTTCCGTAATCCTATGGGGAGTTCCATTGAAGATGAAACCCGCAGCTGCGGTACTGACAACTGCATATGGTTGGGTTCTTCGCCAGGCTAATTTGACGGTCCCGGGGCCCGGCGAGGGCCCCTTGAGGCCGAAAATTGTGAAAAACCTCCGTCTTGATTTTTTCAATACGTTGGATCTCTGGGGAGGACGGAGGACGGGATCGAAGCTCTTAGGCCCTCCAAGGCCAGGCCTCCTGCAGGGGCAGCGCCTGGCCCGGCAGGCCGCCGACGGGCGCCGGAGGCCGCGGAGGGGCCGCCGAGGGCGGCCGCCGAGGGCCGCGCGCGGGGGGCCGAGGGCCTGCCGGAGGGCCACCGACAGGCCTCCGCGGGCGTCGCTTGAGGGGGGGGGCGACATGCCCAGACCCCCCCTCGCGTCGCGAAGAGCTCCCGACGGAAGGTTCTTTGTTTCCGACAAGCCTCCGGGGGCCCTCGCCGGGCCCTGGGGCCGTCAAAAAGCGACTCAG